GGTGTCGGCATAGTTCTTGACGGTGCGAGTGAGGTTGTTCTTGTTCCCAACCTCAACGGCTTTGCTAACCGCCGATCTAAACCACGACATTTTGCCTCAAGAATCAGCAATTCAGCGGCCCTCTTTTCCAAATTAATTGCTCCAGTTAGGGTTAGTTCAAAAACTTTTTAATTTTTTTTTAATATATTTTGTTGTTGTTTGGTGAAGAGAGAGGAAAAAATAAAAAGGATGAACAAAGACTTGGAAAACGTATTAATTGGCTCATTTTTGTACAGTCAAGCAAAGGAAAGGAAACGAAGGGAAGGAGGCAAAGGGGTAATCAGGTAATGTCATGCATGCACCGCGAGTATCTGTTTTTTTTTTTATTTTTTTTGGGTAGTTTTTTCAATTCAGTTTTGGACGCTTCGCAATTGAAAAATGGCACCTGACAAATGAAATAAACGTCAGACTAGGATTAGGATCGGTAGTAGTAAATGGTAAGCACACTCATGGCCGTTCCATCCGGCGCCGACATTTATCAACGGGAAAAGAAAACTTCTACAAGCGAAGATAAAGAAGTTTTTATCAATGGGAATACACGTTTGAATGTGGAAGCACGTTAATGTTTACGCATTCTATAGATGAGCACAAAAATCTTGCACATAGAAATTTTTGTGTCGAGTCAATCTCTAACTTCGAATTTGGCTCAATTTGAATAAACATTTAAAGTTTACGTGTAAAAGGTTTTAAACTATTCGAATTGAGTTTAATAAAATCTCACTTACATTTAATTCGATGAATCCATATACAAATAAATTTGAACATTAGATTGTTAATTTGATTAATCTCGTTTTGCACTCTATTTAGGGTAAAGCACCTAGGGAACTATTAATTTATTCTCTTTGTCAAGTTTTAATCCTTAGTCTAAATTTTATCTTAAAGTATCTGTTGAATAATAAAAAATGTATAATTTAAGCATTTTTAGCCATTTTGATTATTAGTGTAGCTGGAATAAAGGGCATTTTTATTCAGTCATGTAAAGCCATACGGTTGGGACCAGAGTTAAAAGCCCTAAGGGAGGAAAACACTTCATTCTTGTCTTCCTAGTTTCACAATTAGATAGCTCCAAAAACATATATATACATAAAATTTCTTCTAAACTCTACCTACGTTCAATTAATTAGTTGACTAGGACAGCTGGAGGCTCCATGGGCTTCATCCTTGCTTTAGGGCTATACAAAGCCTCTAGTTTTCCTAGTCGACTAATTAATCGAGCAAAAATAGATGGTAGAAGAAATTTTACGAAAATATTTTGGAGCCATGTAATTGTGAAATTTGAAGGCAATTGGTCCAAACACTGGCGAAGTGGGAAATTGAATGTTGTCCCCTGCATTAATGGGATAGAGATTCGAAGGTTCTTTTTGGTTGTTTGGTTAAAAGATTCGAAAGGTAAGTAAGGTAATAGGTTACAGCATGAAGGGTGTTTGGTAGCTGTGGATTAGCTTTGAACTTGTTTTTTTTTTTCTTTTTTTTTTAATCGTATATCAACATAACCCTCACAATAACAACATAATTCAAACGTACGACCTTATTGTAAAAAAGGTGGTTCATCCATATCAATTGAATCAACAGCCTATTCTTACTAATTAAGTTAACTTGCGTTGGCGAAGTTGTTTGGTAATACTTTAATGATGACCCCTTTAATTTTTCTTTTGGGCCTTCTTCCGTAATTGTTTTGTACTACATCGTACAAAATGCTAATCAACTACCAGCGACTATGCCAGATTTACTGTCGGTTTTTGTGGTTTCCTGTGGATTAAGGATTGTAAATTTATCAAAAGTCTTAATTGGCTTTGACAAAAAAAAAGACTATACCAGATTTACTAGGTCATTTGGTTCACGAACCGATTGCGATTCAACCCAGAATGTGATGCAGTCATGAAAGAGTAGCAGCTGCTCACTTTTCATATCCTGGAAGGAGGTCGTGTTTGAATTGCAATTTTCTAGAGTTGTTGTAAAAAATATTCTATAGCAATTTAATATACGTGAGATAAAAAAATAATTAAAAATGTGTTCACAAAAAACGCAGAATTTTTTGGTGGAAAATCCCTTTACAAACAAGGCCTAAGACCATTGCACATCTAACCCACTGTACAATGGATGTAAGCCTATTTGCTTGCTTAATTACTTAGTGTCACTCAAGGGCTCTTCTCGTTTGATAATTGAACCCACTTTTAGCTTTTCATTTTCAAAATTCATTATGGATCAATTGATTTTAGGAGTTTAAAATCTTGTACATCTATTCAACAATCGACATTTTAAGAGTAAATTTCAGCTTTAGTTTCATTCTAGCAATAATAATCTGTTGGCATTGCAAGATTTTGAGACTTGCGAAAATAGTCTATGATCTCGAGAGATGAATGAATTCCACACGGTGAAAGTTGGCTCAAGGGAGGAAAAAAAAAATCTGTTTCTTTCCTTTTTTTTTTAATAACTTTTCCTGCCATTCTAGTCATTTTTATCTTTAAATTAATAAAGATAATATAATGTTAGAACTACGAATTGATCCAGTTGGTAATAATATCTTCTCTTAACCCATTGCCTTAATATGACAACGGATGTCTGCTCTTAGTGTCTACATCCATCTCCATGTTGGACATACACAAACTCAATTTGACTTTGATAATGAGTGATGCGTGAAACTACGCCCTATTTTGCCCAAATTAGAAATAAAGGACGAGGCCAAAAGGAAATATAAGTAAGCAAGCTGAGATGATAATGATGGAACTTTTTTTTTTTTTTTTTATAACACCCCCAACAATGATTTTGATAATGATTTTTATAAAGGACTTTGATAATGATTTTGAATATTTGTTCAAGACATTTTTAAGGATAAAATAGGTATTTTAAAAAAAATTTCACAAACTTCCTCCAACTTTCTCTCCACCAATTTGGGAGGAAAAATTTTGCCTACTATTCATCTTCTTAAATCCTTCCATTTTTTCCTTCTTTTCTTTTCCACTAAAAACTAACAAATGAAGGAAAACTTAACTTTCTCTTCTTTTACTTTCTTTTCTGTCCAAATCCTCCACCAAACGAACCCCAATTGCGGAACCTCTTTTCTTTTTCTGTAGCTTCATTGACGTCAATAAATCGAGCAACCTCAGATAGGGCTTTCCGCATCGCATCTATGAAACTTTTTATCAACACAGCATAAAGAATTTTTTTCTCAAATTGTTGCAAGACCCCTTTTCCGCCCCCAGCCTATCAATTATGAACAAAAAAGGTGAAAGGAAAATTAATTTGATGCAAAGGCGAAGACCAGAACTGGAGTTCTAATTGCTGCCCTTTTGGTACATGGACCCCAGGTACTGAATTTATGCGAAAATCAAATGTATCGTAAACTACTTAGACAGCCCTTGAATTATTTCCGTTGTTAAGTTTTGGCCCTAATATAAATTCTGTTTCAAAGTATTCCCCAAATGATAAAAAAGGTATACATTCCGCCCATTTTAGTCATGAGCGTAGTTAAAATTAAAGGGCATTTTTCTTCAACCATATAATACAGCAATCGAGACGAGAATTAGCAGCCCTAAAGAGAGAGAAGCACATTATTATTCTTTCAAAATCAAAAGAATCATAAAGAAGTTGAAATGGGTTAAGTTTCATGAATTTTGCCTTCCTTCAGGTTTTTAATGAACGGTGCGTGCGTACCATACTTTTTATTACATCCAAATTGAGTGATTAAACCCCCAGATTTAGTCTAAATTAAGTAATTAAACGTTAATATCCCTAGTTAATAAAAATCAAAACTTAAGGAATGAAATGCGTTTTACCTGAAACAATATAAATTTTGAATTGCCAAAACAATGGGGATGATAAGTGCCATTTTCTCTTCCTTACAAATTGTTTGACGTTTCGATCTAAACCAAGCCCAGGTGCGAAACCCAGGAAAGTTGCTCTGGACCAGTGGGCTAAACATAGCCCACTATCAACATCAACATCAAAAAAAAACAACATCAACATCAAAAAATCAAATCCCCCAAAAGACTTTGACCGACCTGGTTGGCGAACCCATGGCCACGTTTTAACACCTACCAAACTAAACCCCCTGCAACAGCTGAATCTACTCGTCACTCTCGCCTTCATTAATTTCCCCATCAAAATTTCCAAACTCCTACAGCGAGTTTTCGTGTGTTTGCATAACTTCGCCGGCAGTTTAGCGTCGGTGTCATGGTACTAGGCCATCCTACTCTCTGGGGAATTACTCTACTGCATTTTTTTTGGGTCCATACTCCCCAGCTATATATATACTCCCTCCCTTTTTTTATAACTGACGTTTAAGGTTTTGCACACCAATTAAGAAAAGTTTTTCATTGCTTAAATCTATACACTACTTTCCTTTTGTACCCTCATTAATTGTCCAATTCACCCATGTTTTCTCTCACTAGAGTACTAAATGGTGCTGTTTTACTAGGCCAAAAGCAATGCAAACTAACTCCCACCAAACTAATTACTAGGAGTAGTAATTAAGAACCCTGTATTAGAAAAGAGAGATAAAAGGGTAAAATTGTGAAAAAATAATTAATACTGTATAGGGATTATAAAACGACAGATAAAAGTACACTAGAACAAATTTCTTAAACGTCAGTTATAAAAAAAGGGAGGGAGTATATATAAGCCATAACCTGACCCTGCTCTTTTCCAATAACAAGAACATTTTATTGATGACAACAGATATCGTCCATTCCTCCTACTTTTTTTTTTTTTTTTTTTTTTTTTTTTTTCTGACGGAGTTGGTGTCCGGGTCAAGTCCTTAAAGGCGGCGCGATTAATCCCACTTCGGCCCGGCCCAGCGCCCCAACCAGACATAGCACGTTAGATTGCCTACTTACTCTCCTAATTTCTCACTAACCAGTCCACCCATCTCCAATTCTCCACCACCCTTCGGTCAATTTTGCTTCTCTACCCAAAAAAAAAAAAAACCAAAAAAAAAAAAAAGTTTCAATGTCCAAGGCTCCAAATTCTGCCCATCCCAACTAACCCCTTCGTTTTAAACGACTCTATATATAGCGTCATACCACCACTACCACTGCTACAAACTACAAAACTCACAGACTACCAATTCTTCAAAGGTGCCGCGAAATCTCTGAGTGCTAGTTACAATATGTCCCTCTCGCTCTCCGTTGGTGAAGTTCATGTTGACGGCCACGTTTTCCCTCCGGCCGCGAAGAAGCCTCCTGGCTCTGATCAAAACTTTTTTCTGGGAGGAGTAGGTTCGCTATTTTAAAGCTCTCTAATCGCTATTTTCACTACTCTCTTTTCAATGTCGTTGGAATGTAATTTTTTGCAATTTCTCTTCTTCTTCTTCCAAGGTTTGGGGGGGTAAGTGAAATATTGCTGTGCGGGATAAATGAACAATGGAGAGAGAGCAAAAATGGGGGAAGCAGTTGTGGGACTAATATATAATCACCTTGTCTAATGACATTGCACTTTTCGTTAATCAATTATTTAAAAATATTTTTTAATTTAATATTGTGGGCAGGGGCACGAGGATTGGAAATTGAAGGCAAGTTTATTAAATTCACGGCTATTGGAGTTTACTTGGAGGAGACCGCCATTCCGTCACTGGCCGTTAAGTGGAAGGGCAAGACTGCAGAGGAATTAACGGAATCCGTTGAGTTCTTCAGAGACATCGTTACAGGTGGCGACGCCTTCTATATCTAATTTCATCGTTGTCGCATGGTTGATATCGGCCTATCCCGGCCCAGCCTCAATTGCAAATCACCACCATTCCAAATCTATTAAACTATGTCGTTTTTGATAGTTTGGGATTAAAGGGTATTTATGTAATCTCACTGATGTTGAAACACTCGTAGTTAGTGTGGAGAGCTCACTTGGGCCTGGCTCAATGACTACCCAATACTAAGTATAAATTAGTTTGTCAACCCATGACGTGACGTCACGTGGGCGGGCAAATGATGGATCGGGCCAGCCTTTACCAATTGTTGCTGCAGATAGCCTGTTGGTCTTGGACAATCGGTCTATCTGACCAATTTCTCGAGTAGGATCTCTGTCTGCTGAAAAAGTGTACAGCTTTCGATCTGAAACAAGTTGAGCCCATGCCTAAGCTACTACTGTCGGATGACTTTGTCATCTCTTCCTTTGATTCCTCCCCTGCTTGCAGATTTGAACTAAGAAGAAAGTTAGATGTGCTCGTGAATAATTGATCGAGCATTATAGTTAATTTTCGTAGCGTTCAGTTGAATGAATTAGTCAACGTTCATTTATACTTTTGGAACTGTTGCATATTTAGAAGGTCTTGAAATTGATCATGACGGTAGTACTTTGCCTGTGTGCTTTTAGGTCCCTTTGAGAAATTTATAAGGGTGACGATGATCTTACCCTTAACGGGTAGGCAATACTCAGAGAAGGTTGCCGAAAATTGCGCTGCTTATTGGAAAGCAGTTGGAATTTACACTGATGCAGAGGATAAAGCCATTGAAATGTTCCTTGACATCTTCCAGAATGAGTCCTTCCCACCTGGAGCCTCTATTCTGTTCACCCAGTCACCTCTGGGATCATTAACGGTGTGTAGTTATAATTGCTGAACAAGGTTTCCTTTTTCGTTTCTTTCTGCCTTTCAGCTGATGTTAGACAGCAATAGACATATTATTATTTTCCATGTTATAAGTTTCCTCGTTGATGCTTGATGTGGTAACACGATGCTTGCTTTCCTGGAGATCTTGCCATGCTTGTTGAATTTAAGAACACTAGTAAGATCCACAAAGCTATATTTGCTGGTTCCGTGATGTGTGCATTGTTGGCAATGCCAAGTACAGTTGAATATCTGAAGAAACCAGGAGATGTTTAAACTGCTCAATCGGCATAGGGAAAAACTTTTACGGATGACCATTTTCTGATTTGCACTATGTACATCTTGCATCAAACTGGCTAAAAGCAAAGTTTGACTTCTTCTTGCAATTACAGATTAGCTTCTCGAAGGATAGTTCAATTCCTGAGGTCAGCAATGCAGTTGTAGAGAACAAGCTACTGTCAGAAGCGGTGTTGGAGTCCATAATTGGCAAAAATGGTGTTTCACCTGACACAAAGAAGAGTTTGGCAATACGTTTATCAGACTTACTGAAAGTGTTCGACAATAATAATAATAAGAAACTTGAGGCCGACGGGGCTATTGCTGCGGAAGCCCCGGACGAAAAGCAGGTTAATGGCGTGCAAGTTCCGGTACAAGTACCTTAAGCTGAATGTAATGTGGCCTACCTTTCTATTGCATTCTGCTTTGGAAGAGTATAAATGAACTCTCTTTCCACGTCTTCTTGTAGATCAGCTTCTACTATGTACTTGAATAATAGTTACAGAGTTGATATTGTCATGGTTTTACCTATCTTTAGCTTGCAGCCATATTGTCGCTGAAAGCCTCATGGCATAGTGTTCAATTGTCAACTAACATATCTGGGACATGCTCATATTTAACAAATTATATATATTAATTTTCAGTGTGCAAGTTGTTGATCCGGAAGTTCTCATCTACCTGTTGATCTGAAGGTTTTCATCTAATCATCGAAGAAGCTTGGTCTAATTGGCTCATTCATTAGAAAAAAATAAAATATTAACATGGTTATTTATTGGTTTATCAAATAAAAAACTAATTATTTTCTCTGGAGTTGTTAGCAGACATCTTTTCTATAATTTGGTCCCCCTAAAATTTAAATACGTGCTAGCTTAGTTTACTGACTCTTGGTTTGGTTAGCGTTTGACACTAGCCATCGTCGCGATAAGGCTGGTTCAACTAAAAGGAGGGGTACAGCTAGAATAGATGGGGAAAATACACAGGGAAGGGGGAAAAGACTAATGAAAAATTTGTGTGTTTTTATAAGCACACTATTTAATTATTTTTTTATCTCGCATTCATTAAATCGTTACGGTATACTCTCATACGAAATGCCCAAAATATATCAATTCAAACGACACAACCTTAGTGCCATCTTAGCCACTGAGTCATTCTCAAGCTAAAATCCAACCTTGCAATATATTAGAACCAATAATATAGAAGCTTGGTGCAACCAAAAAATTGTAAAAGAAGATGCGCAGTAGCGTAATGAGAGCAGACTATTTTCAAGTAGTAAAAAATTTCCGCAGATTTTTCTAATTGCAATAGCAACAATAATAATGAAAGACTGCATTTCTGTGAGATACGGAGTATAATTTCTGTCGTTTTGAGCAAAGACTGCATTTCTGTCTTACTAGTTACTGCTACTATGAACATAAAATTTTACCCCCTTTTTCTTTTCCCCTTTCCCTTGGGATTGTTTAGGCCAAAAAGTAGAAAAGGAAGAAAGAGGCCAAAAAAAAGAGCTCCCAGTCATCACTCATCACCATCAGGCATAAACGCGGTTCCCGCTATTCACGTTAAAGAGCGTGATAAAAGTCCAAATACTAGGGAGAAAACGCGTACACATCATCCATAACGATAGACAGTGCTGACAAATTTGCAGGTATGCACAGCTGCTGACCCCGCCGCTACAAAATTATGGTCCTCCAAGAAGCATCACGGAACGCCGGTCACTGCCCAGCCTTCTAAGGCTTGGGGCCGAACCCTTGACCTCTCATCAAAAATTGTCACAATATATCACGATTTTTGTGGCTCATTTTCGACAGAATTTCTACTCACGTCGAGTTCCCTTCCCTTTTCCCTTAATTAGGTTAATTTAAATTAGAGGAATCCTATCGTTGCGACAAAAAAAAAAAAAAAAAGCATCACGGAACAACCATTGCTCAATAGCCACTAAAAGGGGACAAGTTTCTTTTTGAATTGTAGATCGAAGTTCAAATCTCACTTACAATGAAAAAAATTTAAAAGTGATGTCAGAGCACTCCTTTGATCTTTATAAAAAAAGAAGCATCACGAAACCCTCCCCCTCCTTCCCCCAGTTTAACCTTACTGTTTAATTTAATGTTAATCACTCAAACCAAACCATTATGCTGCTTCTCTAACTTATTCACTTGCTCACTCTCATAGATCATTTCCAATGAGGTAGAATAATAGTGTGTGTATTTATCCTTTTAGAGATGATTGGATACAAATGTTAAAATTACAATTGAAAATTATTTTGCTTTCTTTTCTCTCTTATCTTGTCCAATTGAGATAGTGATGAAAGCCAAATTCCAACATATCAACCGCAGGAGGTTGGATTGATGCATATTACCGCAAGGGTTGACATTTCTTTTTCTTTTTTTTTAATGATTTTAGTGTACTAGGTTAAAGAATCTATTGTTGATATGTTATCGTTCAATTAGTAAGGTTATTGGCTAAAATTCAATGTCACTTTTCTTTTATCAACAGAAAAGTCTATGCGTGCCACCAACGTCGCCCCCACCCTCCAATATATATATATATATATAGTGTATCAAATCTCTCTGTCTTTCCAAACTTTTGATTCGTGCTTTGTTTAAGTCATCATGGTAATAGGAAGAAACATGTCAAGTGCCATATGGAACAGGTGACCCCCCATTCTCAATAGCTGTCTATCATTTTGGATTACTGTGGAAGGCAAAATCATACTACATGATGATGAGTTGAACCCTTGACTTTCGTTATCATTTAACAACTTTTGGTTCCTTAATTGTCTACTGACGAATTTGTCAAATAAAACATACTTGCCAGTTTAGTTTGAATGTCTAACCAAGTCAGTGAGAAAAATCAAGGGTTGTTATCAATGTCGACAAAAGTGATGTGAACACCATAAATGCTAGTCTTCCAGGGGTAACACTATTCTATGTACAAAGAGCAACGGTTTCCGTGCCTTTTTCTTCCTTTCTCCCTTTGTCAACTAAGTTGAACAACAAATTCTCTGTTTATGGTAATCTTTGTTCTTCTGTTCACCACCCCCGGTTTCAGAAATAAGATTTACTACTTGAATTTCTCTCTATCCATTGATGCTCAAGTGTGATCAAAGGCGACCCTTCTTTTGTCCTAAGATTTCTTTTTCTTGATTTGATTGCTTTCAGTTCATTGTGCACGTCTTTATGCATGATGAGAATCAGCACGTATCAATTCCTTATCAGAGTGTTGTTGCCTTTTTGTTTGGTTCTTACTTCGTTAGAATTTGATCCTGAGGATAAGTATTTAATTGACTGTGGATCACTTGATGATACATCTGTTGGTGATCGGGTTTTCTTGGCTGATAGCTTGAATTCCAGTACTCTTTCAACCCCAGAAAAGATATTCCTCAATGCAAGTTCAAATTCTATTCCATCCACCTATGGTAAAGCTTTGTATCAGACCGCAAGAATTTATAATGGAACCTCCCGCTACCCATTTACAATGAAGAAAAAAGGGAGGCACTGGATTCGTCTCTATTTCTTTCCCTTTGTTAATCAGTATCTCAATCTGAGCACTTCTAAATTCTCTGTTTCCGCTCAAAATTTCACTCTTTTGAAGGATTTCCAGCCATCAGGTGCCCCTACAGTTAAAGAATACTCACTGAACATGACTGACGACATTCTGGTCTTAACCTTTACTCCTTCGACCAATTCTTTTGCTTTTCTCAATGCTTTAGAAGTAATTTCACTCCCTAATGAGCTGATCCCTTCTGGTGCTAAAACTGTTGATTCAAATGGAGAGAACCGAAATCTAGAGAGACAAGCTCTGGAGACGGTGGCCCGGATAAATATGGGTAATGAAACAGTGCCTCCTCAAAATGATACCTTGTGGAGACTTTGGACATCTGATTCTACATATTTGGCAAGTTCTGCTCTTGTTGTGTTTGTATCGAATATTGGATTTGTCAATTACTCAAGCGGAAGAGTTAGTGAGAATATTGGTCCCTTTTCAGTCTATGGCACTGCCACGAAACTGAATACTGTCTCAGATGAAGGTTACATGATCAACGCAACCTGGCTGTTCCATGTAGATCATGGTTTTGATTACTTTGTCCGTTTCCATTTCTGTAATATATTGAATCCTGTTCCTGATAATTTATACTTCAATGTTTTCCTGAATTATGAGTTTGCTGCTAAAGATCTTAATCTGAGCACTTCTGGTGTCCCTTACTACATGGATGTTGTAACAAGGGCAGATAGTGTTGATCAGCTGAGCGTGAGCATTGGTCCATCAAGTGTGCTTAATACATTGCCAAATGGGATTCTTAATGGTCTGGAAATCATGAAAGTAAGCAATTCTAAGGACAGTCTTGATGCTTCAGATGCTGAAAGTCAGTTCAAGACGACCACTTCCAAGTCAAAAGTGTGGGTGTATGTCGGTTCTGCTCTAGGGTCGTCAGTTATTGTGATCGTCCTGGTTTTGGTTTTTGCTCTTCTTTGTAGAAGGAGAAGGCGCAAGCACATGGTTCACTCGACATTGGACCAGTATGCTATGACAGGAGTGAGTACAGAGGAGAAGGAACATTCCATTGAATCCTCTATCATTTCACAATCAAAGAGAGGCTACCGCTTCCCCTTTGCTGCAGTTCAGGTAGCAACAGACAACTTCAGTGAAAGTCAACTTATTGGTGTTGGGGGATTCGGAAAAGTTTACAAGGGAGCTTTGAGCGATGGCACAAAGGTGGCCGTTAAGAGAGGATTTCCTCAGTCCAGACAAGGTGTTGCAGAATTCAAGACAGAAATTGAGATGTTGTCCCAATTTCGTCACCGCCACCTTGTTTCACTGATTGGATATTGTGATGAAAGAAACGAGATGATCATAATTTACGAGTACATGGAGAATGGAACCCTCAAGGATCATTTGTACGGATCAGACCAACCAAAACTAAATTGGAGACACAGGCTTCAGATTTGCATCGGGTCGGCTAGAGGACTTCACTATCTGCATACTGGATCCAATAAGGCAATCATTCACCGTGATGTCAAGTCTGCAAACATCCTTCTTGATGAGAACCTAATGGCAAAAGTTGCTGATTTTGGAATATCCAAAACTGGACCTGAGTTTGACCAGACTCACGTTAGTACAGCCGTAAAAGGAAGTTTTGGTTATCTTGATCCCGAGTACTTGACCACACAACAATTGACTGACAAATCAGACGTCTACTCTTTTGGAGTTGTAATGATTGAAATTCTCTGTGGAAGGCCTGTTATTGATCCATCACAACCAAGGGAGAGGGTAAACTTGGTGGAATGGGCAATCAAGTGTTTCAGCATGGGAGGGATGGAAAAACTTGTAGATCCTCATATTGAAGGCCAAGCGAAACCTGAATCTTTAATGAAGTTTAAGGAGACAGCTCTAAAATGCTTGGCAGATCTTGGTGCTAACAGACCTCCAATAGGAGATGTGCTATGGAATTTGGAAGCTGCCCTTCAACTTCAAGGAAGTGATCAAAGGGAGGGCAATGAGCAATCAACTAATCTCTATTCAGAGACTAGAGTCTCTACAGCACAATTTAGCATGGGAAGTGTAGATGATCTTGCCGGGGTATCAATGGGGAGGGTGTTCTCCCAAATGGTCAGAGCTGAAAATGCTGTAGATCAAAGCCAGAAAGAT